GTACAACTGTTAAGTGAGAATCCAGGTTGTGTCAATAGTGTTTATCAAGATTACACTCCTTTGATAGCTGCAGCTAGAAAAGGTCAATTAGAAACTTTATCCTTACTCCTCAGTAATGGTGCAGAGGTCAAAGGGGTGAATAGAAAAAATCAATGTGCTCTTCTATTTGCATGTAGATTGAATCATCTTTCCATTGTGAAACTGCTACTTGATCACAAAGCTGATGTTAATTGTTGCAATCCTCAAGATGAGTTGACAGCACTGTTAACAGCAGTTAAAAACAGCCACTTTAAAATTGTGAACATTTTACTAGACCATGAGGCAGATGTTACTTACACTACCAAAAAGGGAATAAATGTTCTGATGATTGCCGCCAGGCATGCTTCTGCTGAAGTCATGCAGCTTTTGCTCAAACACTGCCCCAAAAGTATTTTAAATGAAAAAGATTGCAATGGATGTACTGCATTGTCTCATGCTATTTATCATAATCAAAAAGATAATATGTTATTATTATTAAACAGTAAAGTGGATGTTAACATTGAAAACAACATTGGACAAACTGCACTAATGTTAGCTCTTGGTTTATCAAAGCTGGACATGGCAGACTTGTTACTTAGAAATGGGGCAGACTTAAATCATACTGATTATGAAGGAAATAGTATTCTAATGTTGGCATCAAGTCAAAACAAATATGATGTTGTAGAATGGTATATGAAGCAAGCTTCTAATCTTTATAAACCCTGCTTGGGAGAAATAAATACACCAATACCTTTTAATAAGGAAATTAGTGACTTGGATATAACAGAATCAACATGCAGTGATTATAAAGCATTAATACCTGTAGCAAAAAAAGAAGCATCAACATTTTCTAGCCCTAATAAAGTCACATGTGCTTGCGATTATGAGGACAATGTAACAGAACAAAATAGACAACCATGTGCTGGTAATAATAAAAATGTTTTCAGAGAAATAACTACTACACCTACATTTTCTAATAATAATAATAATAATACTTATGGAACAGTAAGTGATCTTGAAAGCAAAATTCAACTTGTCAACAAGACTGGATTCAATGCACTTCATTTTGCATCAAAGAATGCATTTACCAGTATAGTTCAGCTGCTGCTTAATAATGGTGCCAATGCCAACAGTGAAAATGCCTTTGGCTGGACACCTTTGATGTTAGCCTCATGTTGTACTGAAAGCATCCCTTGCTTGACATTGTTCATTGATAAAGGGGGAGTGGATGTCAACTTTACTAATACTGATGGCTGGAGTGCATTGAAAGTTGCAACATACTTTGGGCATTTGAATACTGTGGAGTTTCTGTATTCTAATGGTGCAAAGATAAAATGCCCTGGGGATAATTCTTTTAACATTTTGAAGTTGGCATCAGCTACGGGCCACTATGATATAGTCAAGTTTATTGTGACCCACGAAGCAGATGTCAATGAGGTCAATGATGATGGGATCACATCACTTATGGCCGCCACATTAGCATGTAATAAAAGTGCAAAAATCATTAAGCTTTTAATTGACTCTGGTGCAAATGTTAACATTGTTGACAAGTGTGGGAGAAGTGCCCTAACACATGCTTGCTGTTATGGTAATTCAGAAGCTGTTGGTGTGCTTTGCGCAAATGGGGCAGATATTCTAGTAATTGATAAGTGGGGGCTAAACTGTGTAATGAATGCTTGCAAATATGGCCATTTGAATGTGTTAAAAGAACTAACAGAAATTCAAAAATGTGATTTGAATGCTGTCTATCCTGTGCATTTTAGTTCCGTTACTTTCAATGGAAATTTAGAAAATTTCTCATTTCCACAAGAGCATTCAATCGATCAGCCTGTGATAATCGAATCAGTTTCTGCTTGTACTATAGCGGCTCTGTGTGGTCACAGAAAATGTGTTAATTATTTATTGTCATCACAAGTCTGTCTCAGTGAGGACATGAAATACATAGCTATTGACATTGCTTCAAGGAGAGGCTATCATGAAATAGTTTCTGCATTACAGGGCTATATGTTGACCAGCTCACCATCTTTAAAAGTAGAGAGTTTAACTAAGCCATTTGTTGGGGCATATTGTCCTAGTTCCCCCAAAGACAGTGTGGCAGAAGATAGTTTTTCTCCAAATGTAGGCGAGCCAATTAACTCTGGTGCCATCTACACCAACTCTGCTTATCAGCATTGCAACAATCACCTTGGAAACTTTCCTTCTTTTAATGTGGATACATCAGCTAATGCAGTTGTGGAGACATCAGCTAATGCAGTTGTGGAGACATCAGCTAATGCAGTTGTGGAGACATCAGCTAATGCAGTTGTGGAGACATCAGCTAATCCAGTTGTGGAGACATCAGCTAATCCAGTTGTGGAGAAAACAGCTAATGCAGTTGTGGAGACATCAGCTAATGAAGTTGTGGAGACATCAGCTAATGCAGTTGTGGAGGCAGACTCTTCTCCCAGTAAGATGATGGGATTAACTGACCTTGATTTGGAAACAGATTCTTCCATCATGAATGTTAGAGGATTAGCCAACTCTTATGCTGAAAAAGACTCTGCTGATTTTCATGACAGCAGTCAATCAAAAGACTCCATCAATACAATTCAAACACTTCAAGCAAACATGGATATACATCTCTTTGGTCACATGCTGACGGTATTACCAAAAAATAGTATTATAAATCTACATGTACATTTTGAAAGTAACACTAAGATTGAAAATCTCCATTCCTTGTCATTTCAAAGCTCTAATATTGATAGAAGCAATATTTTGGATTCCAACATAAGCCCTGCCTATAATAGCATGTCAGTGAATGTAAAAAATGCCCAGTTCATGGCATTTGACAACAGTGTCATAAACACTTCTCCGCATCAATAAACATATCCCATCAGCCTTTTTTTTTTCTGTAGCTCTGTTTGTTTTCTTTATAATTTATAATCATTTTTATTTGTAAACTTTTAACCTCTTGTTATTTAAGCTGCTCGAATTAAAAAAGAAATACGTTTTCTAAATATATTAATAAATATGTAATTTTGTGTGATTGTTCATAACTTGTTACACTGGGGCAGAACAGAACAAAAAGAAAGTGTCAAGTGAATGAGAGCAAAAGATACATAGATGGGGAGAGAAAATGAAAGTTTGGGAGATAAGCTACACAAAGAGGCTCCTGGAGAAAAGACGGGTCATTTTGGTAGTTAAGCGAGATTTCTCTGCATTTTACTTACCATCCAGCCATAGCAAATTAAAACATGATTTACTAATATATTTATAATTATTATATCATGAGCTTTACAATGAAGTACAATATATATTTATTTCACTGCTCTGTAAGTATCATTAGTTAATGAAGTCATTAAAAAAATATATGATGTAATTAAAAATGAAAATATAACCTGTGGTAAAATGCAACATTATTAAAAAAAAAATTTCATAATTTTTATTATTAGTATTGTCTCTGTACTGAGATCCATTGGTCGTACACACTTTAGCTTTAGTATACCATTATACTAAAATAAAGTATTTTGATTATTTAACAAAAAGTGTTTTTTCATTTTAGTGATAGTTGGTGTGCAATATTTGAATGGTAATTATTTTAATTATTTTCAAAATATTCATTTTCATGATGCCTGTATGTGATGAACTTTTGCCTTAATGTTTTGTTGTTGTTGTTTTTAAATATTATTTTTCTTAAGTCTCATAAAAAACTTTGTTCCTAAAATATTTGGTAGGTCTAAATGCTATCTTGTCAGACGAGATAAGGACAGATAGTGATGACCTCAGCCCTGATAGAAAACTGAGTGAATGTTTACACCCAAGCTGGGGGTCTCACCTGTGAGTGGAATGTATGTTGGTGAGAATGTTTCTCCAGATTTGGGGTTTAGTCTCAAGAAGAGGTGCTTGATTGAAATTAGATGATAACCAAGGAGCTGATCATAACCATCAGGAAGCCTATTGCAAAAGAGTTCAGTAGTGAAGAAGACAATAAAAACTATGTGACAGTTTTCATAATGAATGGCTTGTTTTTAAACTCTATATTCTTATATTTCTGTATGTTATAACACTTGGTTAGGTGCTGGAATTTTTTTTTTAGAATTAAACAATAAAAGTTGTTCTTGAGATTTACAGGGCTAAATTTATTGTTTGCCACCTGAGGCTTTCAAATCTGAACAAAAAAAAAAAACGAACATAATGACCTTGTTAAGCTTTATGACTATATTCTATGTTATTTTATGAAATCTTGTGCAAGATGATTTTTTTTTTTTTAAATTATTCATATGTATTGTAATATTTTGGTAATAATAGTGATATCTTATATATATGAATTATTCTCAAGTAAATATAGTAATTAATGTGTGATTATTAAAATTGAATTCATTTTGAACTAGGGTAATGGACAGTGTAATCATTTTCACCGAATGTGGCTACATTATGCTCACATATGTCTAATCAAATGTTAAAGTTTAGTCAACCTGTGTTTTGTTTGAAACACTTGTGTGCATTTTATGTCTATTCTCTCACAAACTATTATAAATATTGTAATGCCCAGATTGAAATAGTTCAGCACTTTTTTGTAGGTATTCTTCTAAATGTTTGTTCCTTTATTAATGGATTTAATTATTGTATGTGATTATAGGACACAGATCTGTATGAAATCCCTACATACCCAATTTATAGCTATTAGCAGCAAAGTTATATAAACATTTGAATAGCAATATTGCTTGTCAAAGCTAGTTCTAAAGATTTTAATGAGGGTTAGAAGAAAAAAAAAGGAAGTGCCGGATATTTTTTTATTTTCTGTTTATTTGTATCCAACACTGTTATTTATCATCATTATTTTTTTAATTGGTTAAATTTATTGTTTTGAAAAAAAAAAAAAAAATCTTTTAAAACCCATTGTGATCAAGTTTATATGATTTCATTCCCTTGTGGCATTAAAATCATAACGTCAATAAAACATGAAATTTAGATACACCAACATTAAGCCTTTTAGTTTTTTATTTATTAAAACAAAATTGTTTTGCTACATACAAATAAGTATTCTAGCTTTTAAAATTACTAATCACAGCAAAAATGTTAAAAAAAAACAAACATTTGTAATATGCAACACCACTGAAGATAATAGTGTTAATTAACTATTCTGACCAAATGTTTACATTATGCTACAACACACTTTAATTAGTACATTATTTATACAAAAATCATGACAAGTTCAAAATATATCGCATATATAAATAAAAATCAGCAATTTCAACAACACACAAAAACCAATGGCACACTATGTGTTTGAGCATTTTATCTTTTGCTACACGTGTACTGTATAGTGTAACCTTGCTATTAAGATGGCAAAATGGAATATGATTTTTTTAAAAACAGCAAAAGTTCATTATTCCATACTTCAAGTTACAAAATCTACATTTGAATGAGAGCCAGGAAAGATTACATTTTACCATGCAAAGAATTAACTAATTTTTTTCTAATAAAAAAAATGTAGACACAATAGGTTTTCAAAAAAAAAAAAAAAAGTGAATGTTACCTTGGTCAAGTGCACTTAACCCATTAGCTCCTACTGCAGTTCAGAACCTTTTTACATTATATGCATAACACGGTCTGGAAAATTTTTTAAACTTTCTTATAAAAAGAGCTCATCATGTCTCCGTTTAAAGCAAGAAAGAAAGCGTGGTAACTTTTTTTTTTTTAGTGAATACTGGATGTGTATTGAATTTTTAATATTTTTTAAAGAAATTTTAGAACTAACATACCCGTGGACCCAGTGTATAAGCCTCTGTGGTTTTACCGCAAAGACTGCATTCTTCTTTTCTTCGTTCTCATTGTTATGTTGGAGTGTTCAGATGAGTAGACCAATACATGAGATGAACTGCGCAGTGGTTTCCAAATCAGGGAGCTCTCCATATAGTTTCCTTTCTATTGGGGTGATTTGGAGCCAATGTCTTATACAGGCCTCTTGGTATAGAGAGCAGTTTTGGAGGACGTGGTCGGCATTCTCTGGTGATACTCCACATGGGCAGGTTTCACTGGTTCCAATTTTGAGCTTCCGGTACATGTGTTGTCGCATTCTGTTGGGTCCGGTCCTGAGTCAAAAGATTAGACGTTGGTCTTGTCGGGATAGCTTATAGTAAGCGTCATCTTTCTTGTGATTTCTCATTTATTTTATTTACGATTAATTTCTTCAATTCTTCTGGATAGAGTGCAGAGTTTATTAGTGTGTTAGTTCTCCCACTCTTGGCGAGTGTGTCAGCCTTCTCATTTCCTTCTAGTTCTATATGAGCTGGTATCCATTGAATTACAGTTTTTTTGCTGTTGTTGTTGAGCTTTGTAAGTGCTGTTCTGAGGTTTTTAATATATGAGGAATCAGAGTTTTGCAGGCTTTGGAGGGTTGTTTTTGCATCGGTTAGAAAGACAATCTGACTGTGTGGGGAACTTGGATGATTGACTGCATTCAATTGCGTAGAAAATAATGGATATACTGAAGGATGAAAATAACAGAATTTTAATTTTAAAAATACACAACAAATTTAAGAAAACACTTTTATCTGTTTTATAGAAAAGAAAATAAATTGTATGTATAAAATAAATAAAATTAATTGCTCTTTCAGACAGTCACTTCTGAGCTCCACACTTTTATTTAGTTTACACAAAATACAAGTGCATTTTGTTTACTATATTTGTTAAAAAAATTGTTGAAGTCTTAGTGGAATTTACAAATTCATACAAATACAGATTTTCTCAAGTGTTTAAACTGAAAAGTTTTATGTCCCTTTTAAATCCTACTGCTGCCTAAAATGTTTTACATATGTGTTTAGATCCAAATGAGCCTTAACAGGGAGAACATCAAAAAAATAAGTCAATGTCAACGTAAGTGAATCAAAAAGTCTTTGATCTCAATACTAAAAAAAAAATGAATATGATTTTCATTTGCATGCAGAAATAAAACAAAAAGCATTTACTATACAAATTTTGAAAACAAACAGGAATGTGTTCTGAGATGGAATGAGATGAAGGAAAATTTAAACGACAACGTCAATAATCATAAATGAAATCAGTATAAGCTCATTTGCTATAGGAAGAGTCTTTTTTTTTTCTGAGTCTTATGAAATGCAGACATCACTATAAAAAAGAAGATGATTACGTCCTACATGTGTTCCATGGTCAATCTAGTGATGTATGTTAATCAATGACATAAATTCTGCCAAGTGAACACATGTGAAGGTAATTCTTTTTCATATGTTTTAAAAATATAAAACATTCACACAAATGATTACAATTTTAAATCGCTCATATCTATAAAAGCAAAATGCATACTTAATCATTCTTTTAGCAAATCAAGGTCAAAGAGTGGAAAGCTTGTACAAAATACATTTTTCACATTTGATACAGTTCATTTAATTTACAATTATTATCCATTAAATGTAATCAGACTAATTAATTAAGTTTGTGAGTTTGAATACCCATGCCCACTTGCAAGGCATATCGTTGATTGAGATTGGTGGTAAACTAATCAGCATGCCGGAAGCCACTCCATGCCACTTGAAAACACCTTGATATCCCAGCAGTGTCACAACAGTATGTTGTGAAGGTCTCGCATCGCCTAATATTAGGTTAGGTCCAGTTGGCCACTTCAGGACAATGGCATAAACATTGGTGCCATTTTCTGTCTTCTTTGAAGTATACCTGGAATAAACCCAATATCATTTGATTAAACCCAGCAATAAAGTGTTATGACATAATCCAGTTATATTACCTTTGCGAGTCAACACAGCTGTCTGACATGCACATATATATTTCTTCAACAAGGTTATAAAAAGAACATAGATCTGGTTTATTCTGTACAAGGGAAAATATGTTGTCTTCTGTTTACTAGTATTCTTCTATCTAATCTCTAACTTTAAACTGTGGTCATTTAGTTACTGTCTAAACAGAATTATTATGGCTTTGAGTTTAAAATACCCAACATTTATATCTACAAGCTATCCTACTAGCAATGTACCATGACAAAAGCTATTAGGTAACTTAAAGCTATCTCATGACCACCAAAAACTATCATTTTTGACACAGAAAAAGTAAAATCACAATTTTTTAACATGTCTTGTGGAAAGCCACACAAAAAAAGGGCAAATATGCTCTTCAAGTTAATCATATCAACAAGCAGTTCATCTCTCATATATGGTTAAATCTTTTCCATGGTAGTTAAAAACAAAAAAAAGAAATAACTCCGATAAGTTGGTTTAAGGTTTGTGAAGAAAAAAAAATCCACTGTGTTTTATTTTCTTTCGTCTTGTTTTTGTGAGCATAAGTATGATAAGTTACGATACCATAATGAAGGTCAATGCAACTGTTAATTAAAGTGTTTCTGTGTCATAATAATTGATAACCAGTGCTGGTACAATCTAAAATCCTTTTCCAAGTCAGAGGTTCATAAATGGGATTTATCTCAAACCTTATGGACATCTCAGCGAGGTACAATCTATTTAATAACTTAAGTTAGTTGAAAATTTAAAGTAAATTAACAGGAATTGATGTCAGCTTATGATTTCATCAGCTTGACTCCACAAAGCCAAACACTAAAGGTATGATGATGTCAGGGGCAGGTATGGCCAGAGTGAATATTTTACTTCTTTGTTGATATTTTGGTATGATAGAGTTATACCTCTTTCTTTATGAACTTCCAGGTTCTGAATGTGAACAGTCTTCACGGGATGTGAACTGAATGTTTTAGTCTTCCTTGTATGTGAGAGAAAGTGTGTTAGTCAGTGGGGTTTTGTTTCCAGACCAGGAAGGTTGGACAGTTGTTTCCTGGACTGGTGCTTGTTGTCAGTTGTTATCATATAATAGAAAAGGATGGATTTTTGTTTGCTATAAAGGAGTGTTTTCTATATAAATAATAAACTTGTAATCTTATGACAAATAAAGTTTTTCTGGATTCTTTTAGAAATATATTTATCTATAAGTGTTTGCTATAGATCAGCAGTAATCATTCTTAAGTAGAATGCGTGGTTGAGAGGCTAAGTACACTTGAGCCTGGCTTGGCTACCTATAAAGGGGACTTGAGGTTCGACACCTGACTCAAGCAGAGTTGTGTTTACTGAGTGCCTAAAGGAATCAAGGAAAAACCTTCTCCCAGATACCCTCTCCTCCCACCGGTTCACAAATGAGATTGGACCATAGCGCTCTGAGCATGCTATAAGCTATAATTTAATTTAATTTTAATCCCTAATGAGCCAAGAAAAGAACCTGACAGATGATAAAAAAATATTTTTTAATTAGAAAACTTACCACACATTAGCATTCACAGAATCATTCTGATGACTCCAAGGTTTAGTAGAATAGATTGCTTCACCATTGACTCCCAGCCACTCCCCCATCTGTCTTAATTTCTCTTCAAAAATAGGTACAATTGTTCCTTCTTTAGTGGGTCCCACATTGACAAGCAAGTTGCCTCCACAACTGAAACAACAATGTTGAGACATATGTTCAAATATTATATACCACCATTGTTCCAAAGATTCTATAGTGTTAATATTTATGATAGTTTTATTTCCTGAATAAAAATCTGAATAACTTTGAGAAGTTATCAAGAGCTAATACACTTAACTTTAATCATCACCTGAAACTAACTTTAGAAAAACGAATATTGATCTTAGGATACTTGGAGAAAAAATGGACAAATATCCAAGATTATTGAGAGAGTTTATAAAGGGGATTTACTGTAACTAGAGTAATAAAGAATAAGAAGTCATGTACTTCAATTTTAAAGAATAAATATTCACAGGTAAATCAACAAATATTAAAACTTGTTTAAAGAACATACCTGACAACTTCAGCCATTATTGTTAGCAATTCTTCCATAGTAAGAAGATCATCCAGTTTTAAGTTGCGTCTATACTCCCAAGCATACTTATCTATAGTCATAGGGTCTTCAAATTTGTGGGCTTGCTTCACTTCTGAAGTCACATTTTATTTCAAAAGATCAGTACAGATTTTATTTAAAGGTATCATTTAGAAAAGAAACAATACCTGGACTTTAAAAAAACACCTCCAATTAAATTTTTACAATTAAAAGCTTTTACTTTCAACTTTCTATAACATGGCACCAAATTTCATTGATAAATTTACAATAAATTAGAAAAAAGAAAAGTCAATAGCAACACTTACTTGGATTGTATCTGTCATCACAGCTAAAGTAGCCACCATGCTTACACCAAGTATTAGAGCCCCACCTATCATTTGTCACTACTGAGTCTTTCACTGGGCTGATACAGATGGTTTAAATTAACACAAAATTATACTTAGTATTAGTGTCACATTCACAAAGACAGATTTCTTGTATGTAATTATGTTGGAAGAAAACAAAGGTTGAATGTGTAGTATTTACCTGTCATTATAAAGCCAGGCAAGGAAATTGGTTGAATTCCAATAAGTATCTACAGCATCCCAATCACCATCTGACCAGATAACGTCAGGTTTGTAGGCATTGACCAGTTCATACAGCTCTGGCATTGTCTTTGTCTAAAGAGCAACAAAACTTTAAAAGTACTAAGTCATAATGAAGATTACAAAGCAAAGCAAGTATGCATTTTGTATTCTAATGAAGTTGTAAACAAATTACACAAGTCTAACTCTTTAACTGATATCCTTACTCTAATAAAATCTTGAGTCGTAAAATTGTTTTTCTTGTCTTGCAAGAATAGTGGATGAAAAAATTCAAACAATGAATGGTAAGCACCAAACCGCAGACCTTTCTGACGCACAGCTGAAGCCAGGTCACCTAA